AAGAGTCATGCACATTATTGTTCGGGGGGACAGTAATCTAGAATAAGGATGAGCAAGTATTTCTCTTAATGCATGGTGGGAGTTCCATGTAAATGGGCATTAACAGAATTGCTAAGTGAAAATCAAATTATTCTTCAAAAGAGAACAAATAATATATTGATATTTGATGCGGATAGTAATTATGATAAGACTCGGCTGACGTCAAATGACGCCTCATGCAACAACACCTGGTCAATGCAGACCGGAACGCCGATCGAGGCATATTAACATCCTGCCAAAGCTCAGTTCTTCACGCCACGCCAACACAAAGCCAGACGCTACCAGCATGCCCCCTGCAAGCGAGCAGCTCAGGAAGCAGTAAGCTTCCCTATAAATACACTCTCGTTCATCAGAGAGAGGAGGAGGAACATCGATAGCAAACTCCACCCCACATCGCTAACTTGATCGTCGGAGGGGTCGGGCCGAGCTTCCGACCCGACCTGTGTGCAGGTAAGGAGACGAAGCAACTTCCCCGGGACGCAAGGAGAGGGCGCCTTCCCCCGGGGCATCCCGACGATCCCTGGCGTGGTCCGGTCCGCGCGGTCGATCACTCCAGCAGTCCAAGAGACCCCGAGCAAAGATCCCCACCATTCAGCCCCGAACCAAGCCGTGTCGGCTCCGAGACACGACACAAAGTTGTTTACATCAACAGATCGTGCAGGTGCGAAGCCGAAGGTCCCCTCCGGACGCGCAGGCGAGGAGTTCCTGCCCGGAGGAGACGGCTACACCGTCCCGATCGGACATGGCACCCGATCGCCTCAGCGGGCTCGAGGAACGCCACAGGGAGATCCCCGTCGTCCGGACCCGAACCGAGCCGCGTCGGCCCCGAGGCCATAGCTCAAAGTTGTTTCCCACAACAGATTGGTGCTAGAAAGAGGGCCCGGAATGTCGGGTGACCACCCGAGCGGCTCAGATGAGCCCACGGCTGAGAGGTCACACCCGACCGAAGCCTCGGGGGAACCTCCCCCGCATGAAGACCATCGTGACGAACACCATGCCACGACCTCCGGACGATATTGGCGAATATTCAACGACCTGGGCTTGCCGCCGCCCGACGGCGCCCCAGCCGACTCAATGCCCGTGTCGTCCGAGGCCTTTCAGGACCTCGCTCTTCAAGTCCGAGCCCTGATGGAAATGGTGCAAACCATTATCCCGCTCATTTCTCATCCGGCGCACCCGCCTGCGATCGAATCACTGCGACAACGCAAGGCGCCCGTTCGGGCCCACATGATGCTTCCGGAGCCCCCCACTTCGCCTCGGATCCGACCGGCCCCACTCGGGGATCCAGTGATGGCAAACCCGAGCGATCGCCCGGAACCCGAGGCACTCTCTTCGGACTCCCTACGGACCCAGTTGCGCTTTGTCAGCCAACGACTCGACGAGGTGCAGAAAGAGGTTCGCATGTCCAAGGGAGAGCTCGGGGAGGACGCACACCAAGGGTCTCCCTTCACGCCCGAGATACGGGATCTGACAGTCCCCTCGAACTTCCAGCTCCCCTCTCTGGACGCTTACGATGGCTCCGCCGACCCGGCGGACCACGTAGCCGCTTTTCGCGCCCAAATGGCGCTATACGGAACCTCTGATGCCCTGATGTGCAGAGCGTTTCCTACCACTCTAAGAGGGCTGGCCCACACGTGGTATGGCGGCTTGAAGACTGGAACGATTGCTTCTTTCGACCAGCTCGCCAATGACTTCGAGCTCCACTTCGTAGTCTATGCACGGCCAAGGCCCTCCACGGCACTGCTCCTCGGACTCAAACAAAGGGAGGAAGAGCCCCTCTCACATTTTGTGGATAGCTTTGCCACGCAAATCCGGGGTTTGCCGGACACTCACCCTTCTCTGTTGGTGCAGGCGTTTATAATAGGCCTGCGACCTTCCAGATTCCTCTAGTCCCTCGTGGAGCGACCCCCCACCACGGTGCCAGAGATGCTCCAACGGGCTAACCAGTACATCGTGGCGGAAGCCTGGGCGACCGTAAGGAGAAGGGACGACTTTCAGCAGCAGGCTCCATAGAAGGGGTCAAGCACCCGCGACGGCTATCCGATGTAGTCCTCGTGAAAATGAAATTTAGGCCCTGCCTCAGTCTCTTCCGAGCGAAGGTTCAGTATCTACCTGACTACCTCCCGGCTCGCGGTTAGCCCCGGCCTAAATCCTTCTGAATCTACACGGCTCGACCGAAGTCTGCCGAGTCCACCTCAGCATGGCCTGCCCGCCTGAGCCGTGTCCCTCGGCCGTAGACTGCCAAGCCCCCCCTCAGGGCGACCTGTTGCCCGAGACCACGCCTGCGCGGTATGCCCGCCTGCGTCGTGCTACTCGGCCGCATGAGGCCAGAGAGACCACGCCTGCGCGATCTACCCGCCTGCGTCGTGCTACTCGGCCGCATGAGGCTAGAGAGACCACGCTTGCGCGGTCTGCCCGCCTGCGTCGTGCTACTCGACCACATGATGCCCGAGACCACACCTGCGCAGCTAGCCCGCCTGCGTCGTGCTCCTCGGCTAAGCCCCGAGACAAATC